TGTAGTCACCATGATGTACAATAGATCTCCAGAAATATATATTTTTATTATAACCAGGTATTTACCATTTTAGATTGTCTTCATGCATTACTAGAAAAGAAATTCCCATTCTCCCCTGGATGTCCTGCTTCCTGGTTCTATGATTAAGGTCATTGGTGTAACAACAGTGTCTTGATTCCACTGGGATATGTAAGAAACTCAGAGATTGCCTTCCAGTTTGTCCATCTGAAATATGGGGGAAGAATGTATGGGCACTGAATTCCAGCTTCCACTGGTTGGTGTCGTCCTTGGGAACCTTAACTGCCTCCATATCTGGCTTTTTCTTGCACGTGAACTGAGCAGGCTGCTAAGGGATTCCCAGAAGGCAGAGGTGTTATTCTCCAGAGAAGGAGTGGGGCATTAAAGAGGAGAGGTTAGTGGTTAGCACTGGAAGCAGGAAACTGACAATGTGGGTCGGAATCACCCAGCACAAGTTGCTTGAACTCCTCAGTCTTGGTTCTCTCATCTGAAAAATGAGGATAATAAAATCACCTACCTCATAAAATTTTTGTGAGGATTAAATATATGTAAACTGTTACGCATCGTTTTTGGCATAAAGTGAGCTCTGAATGAATGTTGGTTTTAATTATCTTAGTGGTGGTAAAGCCACTTCCTCAAAACAAGGCCTTCAAGGATTGATAGAGGAGATTCTAAAATTAGGATTAGCAAGAGAATTAGGGTAGAACAGAGTCTTTGGTTTGAAAATACCTGTATTCCACCAACATCTCCTATACTGTATGGCACTACTAAAGAGGTAACACTTTGAGGCATCGACAGTGAGAGACTATTTTATATCTGGAAGTCATCCACACCTCCTTTTAATTTTAACTCCCTTTTCTTAATCTCAGAATATTATGGGGTACAAAGACTTTGGTTACATAAATTCCTTTTGCATCACTTGAGTCATAGCTACATGTGTGCCCAGCCTCCAGATGCACTTCTTCCTGTTAAGTGTGAATTTACCTATGCCTTCCTGCCCCGTCCCACCTCCCTGACACCTGATGAATGTTACTTCCATATGTGCACATAAGTGTTGATCAATTAATACCAATTTATTGGTGAGGACATGTGATGTTTGTTTTTACATTCTTATAGTACTTCACTTAGAAGAATGGGCTCCAACCGAAGCGCCCATCAATAAATGAGTGGATTAATAAAATGTGGTGTATGTATACCATGGAGTACTACTCAGCTATAAAAGAATGGTGAACTACCTCTAATTTGAACTTCTTTGTACAACTTTCAAGGCATTTATTATTTTTCTTTTGCTCTGATAATTAATGTACACGTCTTTAAAATTTTTGTTATTTAAAATTCAACTTTACCTCAAGCTACACCTCATATCCCATCAAAGTGCTTACTGATATGTTTTGCAGATATCAATACAAAATACTTATCAATAAACAATATTGAATGGAAAAAGCTAAGATTAACATTTGATACCTGAAATTTAGTACTGAATATTTCTTAATCAGAAATATCATAGTAAACTTGGAAGCTATATTATTTATAAGAATTTATTAGATTATATTCTCTAATAATTATTAAACAAAGGTTATAGAACTATACATGAGCACCTAGATAAGAACAAAAGAATAAATTGACCACTTGAGAATTGACAGAATCTGGAAAGATTAGTTGTTTCTGTGTGAGAATTGAACTGCTCAGTATCCACTACAGAAAATAATGATGCTCCATGGTGCCTTTGAATTCACATTTGACCCTCTAGAGTTTTCAGAGAGTTTTCCTCAAAGGAAAATAAAAATGAAAGATAGCTATATAACCACTATAACTTTGAGTTGTTACTGGAAGATGAATGAGTTCTCATTCCAAGAGGTAAGACGTTGGCTTTTGTTAATGAATCTGACTTATTGATTTTCATTTACCCTATGAGAACACTTAATATCTGTACTTACAAGCCATAGCGCAGAAACAGGGGAGGTGTAATCAAGCCATCAGCTACTGAGCAACTTTGGCTAAATTGGTATGTTTCCACCATCAGCTTCATGTGAATAAACAGGCGTGATCCATGTTACCAGAATTCCTTATATACCCATAAGACAAACTCAGATGGTCTTTCAACACTATTCAAACTGGACATTCTTTGAGCCATATCCTAAACCCATGGTTTCAAAGTGCGGCCTCCAGTCCAGCAGATGAGCATCACCTGAGAACTTGTTAGAAATGCAAATTCTCAGGTCCCATCACACGCCTGTTGAATCAGAAACTGTAAAGGCGGGACCTAAAAATGTGTGTCTTGTCATGTCCTTCAAGTGATTCTGATGCATATTAAGGTTTGAAAACTACGGTTCTAAACAAAAATGGTCACCAAGCAACCCTTACACCCAGGTATTAAAAGAAAGTAGTGATTTTTGTTTTTATTTATAAATATATCATCTAACTGGAAATATAAATTTAAGGTTAATATTTTATGTTCACACATGTTTTTGAAGTACTTATAAATCTCTGAGATAGTGGAAGAAGGAAATACCTTCATTGAACACATCAGCAAATTAAGTCAAGGAGAAGATACATAACTGAACTGAAGTGGTGTAGTTAGATGACGGGAAGTGACGGAAACAGACCTAGGTCTCCCAACCAGACAGACCTCCCAGAAGACGGGCAACAAGCCTGCTGCGTGGTCCTTGAGTGACTGCAACTGACCCAGCATGTGCTGGAAAAGTTAAAACCCATGCTCTGTCTGAATCCTCTTGTCTATTACCAAATGACTCCTAAAAATACTCAAGCAGTTAAAGTTTATTTTTAATAATTTCTAAATAATATAAAATTCATCTTGAGCCTGGGATGTACATTGTTCCATAAATATGTCTGAACCCATATTACAGACTAAGGGTTTGGGATGCAGAAATAAAAATCAGTTCCTGCTTTCAAACAGCTTGAATACACTTGTTACACCTAAATACTGGTAACCTGTGGTTGCCAATGCAATTTACGTTCCTCAGTAGGAAAGAGAAAAAAGGTACTCTGATAGATCACATTTTTTTCCTTAAATACAGTGCCCAAAGATGATAAAGAATCAGGCAAAAAGTCTCGCAGGATATTTTCTAACATTGAGTTGGGATTGAAATATTCTATTACACCAGTGATTTTAAACAAAGTATAGAAAGCTTTAAAATTCCTTCACAAACATAACAAGACAGATTAATTAAAAATATTTGCATAATTAATACAGGGAAAATACTTGTCAATTTTGTGTCATCAAATAATGATACTATATGTTTGCATTATCTTTGCATTAGTCAGAAGTTGTCCAAATAAAATCCATGTAATTAATTCTAAAAAAAAAACAAACTGAGCATTTTGCAATAATGCTAATAAACTCACTAGCTTTAAGACACTTTGGGCACTTATGTATATCATAAAGATTTTAATTAAAGATTTAAAAATATAAAGATGATGTAAATATTTACAGAAAGACTTACTTTGTTTATGGATCCAAATGCTTTTAGCTTCAAAGCAACAACTTATTAGACAAAGCTCGGGACATAAAGTGAGAAAACTAGGAGATGAGGGTCAACCTGGCCACTAGCCAGATGATTCTTCTTCAATTTTTAGGCTATATTTTATTCAGCCATATATTATGTTGAAAATAATATTATTCATTCTGCAAAATCCCAATTGGAAAATATTGTTACAGTAGGAAGTTATTTGATTTATTCAAATAAATATATTAATTACATACTGAATATTAATCATGTTTTTGCATACAGTGATATTTCAAACTACTTAAAAAACAAAACAATAATATATTTAATTACAAATATTTTAAAGATATCCCATAAATTTACAATAAGTGACCTCATTCATAATCCTAATTTGAAAATCCTTTTCAGTAATGGAGTCAATTTTATTTCTTCTTTTTAAAAAATGGTGTTATTTAACTGATAGAATCATGAAATACGTTACTAACCAAGTGCCTGTTTTACACATTAGATGCCAGAAGACCTAAAGGACAAACTGTTATCCACTCATTTCCAGGTGTGTTGGACTTCATGGTATCATTTAACTTTGTTTGTTGTGTAGTTACTAAAGGAATGGAGCAGGCAGACTTCCTGAGGTTTATGTTCTGATTCCACCACTTGCTATGTTACTTTGTACAAGTTACGTAACGTCTTTCATGCCGTGTATGCATCTATAAAATAAATAATAATGAAACTAATATCATTTTATGGAAAGTGAACCAGACTATGGATATAAGCTTCTTAGCCCTATGCTTAACATTTAGTAAGTATGTAAAAAATGTTAGCCATTTCTCAAGTCTTTATTTAAAAATTCTATATGCATATTTTTCTTTTTTAGTTATACTCACCAATCTTTTCCATTATTCTCATATGTCTTATGTTTTTAATACTTTGAATTTAAAGCCACTTTAACTGCCTTTTTGGAAACAATGTGACAAGAAAAGGATATTATTTGAAGGAAGTTTTTCTGGTGTTCATGATAAAAATAATTTTCAAACTACAGACAGATTCACAGTTTCAGGTAAAAATGTACTGGTACTTGAATATCTTAATAGAGACTTCCCATTTGTACTAATAAAAATGAAACCAACGAATTTATAACTAGTGTACTGTTCTCATCACAGGTTCATTTTGGGAGCAGCTACCATGTCTCATGGATTCCTGGGTAGATGGGAACCACACAGCTGTGACAGAGTTCATTCTATTGGGCTTAACAGATGATCTGGTCCTTCGTGTCATCCTCTTCGTGATCATCCTGTGCATCTACCTGGTGACCATATCTGGCAACCTCAGCACAATCATTATAATCAGAATCTCCTCTCAGCTCCATCACCCTATGTATTTTTTTCTGAGCCACTTGGCTTCTGCTGACATAGGCTTTTCATCTTCTGTCACCCCTAACATGCTTGTAAACTTCCTGGTGGAGAGAAATACAATCTCTTATCTTGGATGCGCCATCCAGCATTTTTCAGTTGTTTTCTTTGGAACAGTTGAATGCTTCCTTCTGGCTGCCATGGCTTATGACCGCTTTGTGGCAATCTGCAACCCACTGCTTTATTCCACCAAAATGTCCACTCAAGTCTGTGTCCAGTTACTCATAGTGGCTTATTTAAGTGCTTTTCTTAATGCTTCCTCCTTTACTTTTTCTGTCTTTTCTTTATCATTTTGTGGCCCAAATCAAGTCAATCATTTTTTCTGTGATTTTGCTCCCTTAATTGAACTCTCCTGTTTCGATACCAGTGTCCCCACAGCTTTTCCCTCATTTACTGCTGGCTCCATCATTGTGATCACTGTGTTTGTCATAGCCGTCTCCTACATCTACATCCTCATCACCATCCTGAAGATGTGCTCTAGCGAGGGTCGCCACAAGGCCTTTTCCACCTGCACATCCCACCTCACTGCGGTCACTCTGTTCTATGGGACCACTACATTCAATTATGTGATGCCCAAGTCCAGCTCAACTGACCAGAACAAGGTGGTGTCTGTGTTCTACATGGTGGTGATCCCCATGCTGAACCCCATCATCTACAGTCTCAGGAACAAGGAGATCAAGGGGGCTCTGAAGAGAGAGCTTGGAAGAAAAATATTTTCCTAGTGACATCTTTTATTTTGTAGTATTTTATACATTAATGTCTCATTAAGAAAATAGTAAAAGTAAATTGAGTGTCTGTGGTCAAAATATATCTGTCCAGCATGAAGCTTTTTAGTAAATGTAGGGGCTAGATTTTCAGATTAAATACTATAGTAAATCATGGGCTCACAGGGAGTTTTATTTAATAAAATAAATATATAATTAGGAAAACATTGTTTCACGTGAAAATGTACTTAATCTGCTTAAATCTTTTTGAATTTTATTCATATTTTTTTAAAGGTTGTGTTTTACCATAAGTTAATGTAATTATACCTCTAAACCCTTAGACTATGGCCATTTTCAAAATCAGCTTATCCTGAAATAAGGCTGATAACTACAGTTGTGACTGAGTACATTCTGAAAGCAAATGACAAAGTGGAACCAAATAATAAAATTGATGGAGACATTCTTCTTGCAGAAAGGTTACCTACTGGGAATGAGCTTTCTGGATCCATAAAATTCTGGTCTGTGTTCCTGGCCTCTGGTTCTGGCATAGTTATAAGGGTCCCTAGAGGAGAACAACATGATTTGTCTCTTACTCTCCTGTGAATTTCTCTGTCGGGTCACAATAATTGATTTATTTTGCTGGAATGAGCAGAATTCCTAAATTTCTTAGGGACTGAGTGAAACAAAAGTAAGGAATAACTTTCAGGAAGATAATCCAATTGCAGGATGTCTTTGAGACTGTGGAAGGAAATCTTTTCGGTGACTTGTTTGTGGTCTCACTCACAACCTACTCAGGAAGCTCCAGGGTACTTGACTGTCTCTGCCCTCAAATTTTGACTAGCCCCTGGAGAGAGAATTTATCAACGTCCGCATGGTAATGACTACCACATTTTTTTCTCTTTTTTGTCCTTAATGTTTCAGACATAAATTCTTAGCTTTTTGCCAATAGAACCACAAGAAATTAATCATTTAATTCATTTGTTCTTTTATACATTCAAAAATTATAATATATTGAGTGACTCATATTGCAAGCACTGTCTAGGCTACTGGAGATGTAAGTGACAAACAGCCAAAGATGTCTGCCCTCATGAAATTTCTATTCTACGATAGGGCTCAGACGATATAACTAACAAGTAAATGATACAGATTGTTATTAATAGAAAAGTACGAGTGCCATGGAGAAAGAAAAAGTAGGGCAATGCATGGAAGATTGATATGCCAGGGGCAGGAAGTGGTCACTGCAGATGTCACTGGGAACATAACATCTGAGTGGTGTGTTTCACATGAAAATGTTCTTAATCTGCTTCAAATCCTTTCAAATTTTATTCATATTTTTTCTAAAAGTTGTTCTCTACTGTAAGTTAAGGTTGTTATACCTCTAAACCCTTTGACTGTGGCCATTTGCAAAATCAGCTTATCCTGAGATAAGGCTGATAACTACGGTTATAACTGAGGCCATTCTGAAAGGAAATGACAAAGTGGAACCAAATGATAACATTGCTGGATACATTCTCCATGCACAAATGTTACCTACTGGGAATGAGCTTTGTGGGCCTGTAAAATTCTGGTCTGCGTTCCTGGCCTCTGTTTCTGGCATAGTTACAGGGCTCACTAGAGGAGAACAAGAAGAGTTGTCTCTGACTGTCCTGTGAATTTCTCTATCAGGTCAAAATAATTGAGTTATTTTTCAGGAATGAGTGGAATTTCTGATTCCTTAGGGACTTGGTGAAATAAAAACAAGCAATAATTTCCAGGAAGAGAATCCAATTGCAAAGTGTCATTGAGACTATGGATAAAAACTTTGTTTGTGGTCTCACTCACATCTTAGGAAGCTCCAGGGAACTTCATTGTCTCTCCTCTAAAATTTTGACTGGCCCCTGGAGAGAATTTATCAACCTCCACGTGGTGACAACTACCACATTTATTTCCTTTTCCTGTCCTCTGCTTAGTGTTCCAGACATAAATTCTTAGCTTTTTGCTGACAGAACCACAGGAAATTAATCATTTCATTCATTCATTTGTTCTTTCATACATTCAAAAATTATAATATATTGAGTGACTCATATTCCAAGCACTGTCCTGAGCTTTTGGGGATGTAAGTGACAAACAGCCAAAGATGTCTGCCCTCATGAAATTTATCTTCTAGCATAGGGTTCAGACAATAAAACTAAGAAGTAAGTGGTTCAGACTATTAGAAGGGGATGAGTGCTATGAACAAAGAAAAAGTAGAGCAGTGCATAAAAGGTTGATATTCCAGGGGCAGGAAGTGGTGCAGGTGTCACTGGGAATGTAACATCTGAGCCACAATCGCAGGAGGTGAGGATGGTTCATGTCAAATATGGTGATACCTGTGAACAGTTGTACTAATCTAAACTTCCACTCACAGGCATGTCATTTACGTTTGAGGTTTCTGCTCCAACAATGGCAAGGTTAGTCGTTTTAATCAATCCCCTGGTGGGCATAACTAACATAAACGATAAAGTGTTAGACATATTTTAAACATCACTTTAGAGCTTACAGGATGATTAGGAATTGCCTCACCAAAAAATATGAGAACCCAGAGAAGCAGACCTAACACTCAAAAATGCTTTTGTTAAAAGAGAATTTGACAAGAGAGAAGAAAGTGCTACCAATCTGTGCTATGGATTTAGTGTTTTTTTGGGAGGTTGAGAGGGGCACAAGTCAAAGCCTAGGGCACATCCGGCAGAGAAGTCTGATTGATACACCTCATGTATTTCCTTGGGATAAAGGGAAACCTGGAGTAACCCAGCCTGGCACAGATTAGCAGCCCTGGAGGTCTGGGCATCTCAAGCCTTGAACTTGGATGTGATGGTTAGGACAGGTGAACTGAATAAGCAAACAAACAATCCAAGCCTCAATTATTCCTGCCAATACTTATTCAAATACAATGGCCAGCATACAGTGAAAAAAAATGACTGTTACAAAAGGAATTAGATGCCAAACATCGGAGCCAGTTGAAATAGCAGAAAATAGAAACAGAACCATTAAGATTTAAGATATGGGAATTAATAAACACAGATCATAATATTACTTTGGTTAAAAGATAAAAGATAATTTAAAAATATATACAATCACAGGAAACAAAAACCACTAAATAGTATGCAGACAACCACATAGAACCTCATAAGCGACAAATTCACCATGCCTGAGGAGTTACACTGGGCATTTATCTTTGTGGAGTGTAGCCCTCGCAGGTCTTCACATAGGATCTCAAGTAACAGCACAGACAGAGGCACCAACCAAGCTTATAAGCTTAGTGACTCTAATTGGAACCAATATATTTTATAATAACCTCAGGCACAGTTCCTGGCTCTCTGCAAACGTTTCTAGTTATAAGAATCATTGCACTCAGGGAAGCATAATGTATAAAATAGAACATATTTTATAAATTATATTGACATGGACTATTCCTCTACTGTCACACCCAATATATTTGTAAACTTCCTGATGAATAGAAATACACCCACCTTGGATGCACCATGCAGCTTGGTTCAACTGCTTTCTTTGGGACAGCTGAGTGTTTCCTTCTGGCTGTCATGGCATATGACTGCTTTGTGGCAACCTGCAACCCACTGCTTTATTCAACCAAAATGTCCACAGAAGTCCGTGTCCAGTTATTTGTAGTGGCTTACACAGGTGGTTTTCTTAATGCCTCCTCTTTTACCTTTTCCTTTTTTTCTTTATTATTCCATGGACCAAATAGAATCAATCATTTCTTCTGTGATTTTGCTCCTTTAATTGAACTCTCCTGTTTTGATACCAGTGTCCCCGCAGTTGTTCCCTTGTTTTTTGCTGGCTTCGTCATTGTGGTCACTGTGTTTGTCATAGCCGTCTCTACATGTACATTCTCATCAACACCCTGAAGATGCATTCCACTGAGGGGGCCACAGGCCTTCTCCACCTGCACTTCCCACCTGTCTGCGGTCACTCTGTTCTATGGGACCATTACATTCAATTATGTGATGCCCAAGTCCAGCTCCTCAACTGACCAGAACAAGGTGGTGTCTGTGTTCTACATGCTGGTGATCCCCATGTTGAACCCCCTCCTCTACAGCCTGAGGAAGAAGAAGATTAATGGGGCTCCGAAGAGAGAGCTTGGAAGAAAAATATTTTCTAAGTGACACCCGTTATCTTATAGGATTTGATACAATAATATCCCATAGATATAATAATAAAAGGAAATTTTCTGTAGTCAAAATATGGCTGACCATACATCATCAGCCAGTGTGATTTTTTTTTTAGTAGTGGATGTATTTTTAGATATTAAATAGTAAATCAGAGGCCCATAGTGTGTTTCCTTTAATAAAATTAAGTTAAATTTATAATTAGGATAAACTAGATAATCTGCTGAAAATTCTTTTTAAGTTGTATTCATATATTTCAAAAGTAGTTATCTGCCAAAATTTGATTTGAGGATGTGTGAACTAAAGAGACAAGTCACCTGCTCCCTATGCATCTAACAGACATTGTTGATAGAATGGTAGGAAAAGTTGAGCAAATACTTTTGTTTATAATGGGAAAATATAGTAGTCACATAGCAATAACTGGCCTATAACATTTCCAAAAAGCAACTATACACAATTACCATTTTCTTTTCTTTTTTTTTTTTTTTTTCGTGAGACAGAGTCTCACTCCATCACCTCAGGTAGAGTGCAATGGCGTTGTCTTAGCTCAATGCAACCTAAAACTCCTGGGCTCAAGCTATCCTCTTGCCTCAGCCTCCCAAGTAGCTGGGACTACCAGCATGCACCATGACATCCAGCTAATTTTTCTATTTTTTTAGTAGAGACGGCTACTTACTCAGGCTGGTCTCAAACTCCTGAGCTCAAGGGATCCTCCCACCTCAGCCTCCCAGAGCGCTAGGATTGCAGGCGTGAGTCACTGCACCTGGCCCACAATTTTCATTTCTTTTATCAGGACCCAGTGTTACTCCCTGTTAAGATGCTCTGTGTTTGTTAGCTCTGCCTTCTGGCCTTTGGTTCCATCCTGTGGATCAT